AAAAAAAAAAAAAATAACAATTATGTCAGTAGGTTGAATGAAAAAAAAAATACAGTAATTAGGTTACCCAAGTTAGTGATAATAATATTATAATAGTGTATACTGTATATATATATTTTATGTTTTCATTATTACCATACACTGCATAATGATTGACCCTTTGATTGATTATCTGAATCTCTTGTTGAATTTTTCTTTACTTCACTTGGTGTCATTCCCACGTAGTCTTCAAGTTATTTCGTTTGAAGTTCTACGCTCCGAAACTGGTATGCGCGRAGACCACAATGGTGGGTTTTGTAAAATTTGAACGATTAATTAATTTTTTATTTTACTWATTAATCGATGTAGACGAGATGTAGTGTAGCTTATCATACAGTTATGTGTATTGTTATTGAAAAATAAGCTTAGATTGTGTATTTATTCCGAACGATAAATGGTGATTCCGTGTTGCATGTAGGTGGTATAAGATAAATAGCACCTCATACGATGTGTTTGCAGCTGCGCGTGACGTAAATATCGGGAAGTATAGAATAGTGTTCTCACCAAAATATAGGTAAAAGCGCCTCCGTATGAATTTGCAMCGATGTTCACTTTTATTTATATGAATAATTATTTGAATATATCACTCACTAGACAGAATTTCTTTCAAAAGAAAAGAAAATGAATACGGCAACCGCTGCCACCAATGTTATGAACGCMACGGTGTATGGACTGTGATGTTCAATTATATTTTAAATCGTGTCTTTAGTTGCATACAAAGACGACAATTTGTCAAACCGTATCTGTAGTATGTGATGTTTAATTATACCTTGAAGGTTCGATTTAGTTAAAAGAAAGGAATACACGTTTATATATTAAATAATAATTGTACTTTATTTGTTTATTTAACTTAAGTAATATTCTACACTGCGTTAGAGCACACTACTAACTCTTAGACTAACTTGTCGACAGACCGATATATCGCCAGTATGTCGCGAATAATGAAAAAACGATAAGACGCCTACATATATGCGTCTACATACTCTATAGTATAGACTTAAAGTAGTGGTGGGCAT